AGTTTCGAGAGGATTGAGTACGAATTGGTGGCATGGTGGGTGGTTGAACTAACTAAGATCTAATTCATGGACGTGTTTTGGTTGGGGTGGCCAGCTCGCTTGGGTGGCCAGCTCGCTTGGGAATTACGTTAGTGCTCATCAGAATCGGCCGACTATCTTTTAGGCACATTGCAGGTTTCCGAGACCCCGCCCCCATTGACTCCGAACGTAAATCTACCGATCTGACCTTTATCGACGGGGGGTTGGCCATATCACCCAGTCACGGCGGTTGGGAAAAAGACAATACCAAGTGGGCTTGGTAATCGACATGAGTGTTTGCTTTAGCTCACAATAGTGGACACTTCCAACGAATCCAATCTTTGCTGCAGTTCTAAAAGGAAAAGCTGATTTCCATGTGGATTCTGTCAACAGGTGATTGAAGAGGGTTCCCGCCAAGTTCAGGTCGATGGTGACAAGCCATGTGACGGTCTAGAAGAAGGAAAGACAGGGCTAGGTATCGAACTGAGCATCGAACATCAGAGCTCTTGAGCGTTTATACCGAACGACTAGAAGCTGATGTCCTTTGCCCTTTCTCCCTCCCTTTCTCGACATCGAGTTCCTGCCAGCATTGCTTGGCGAGCAGTGAAAGTTAAGTCGCATCCCAGGCAAACTCTGTGCGTGAAAAAGATCCTAAACTGACCTTCTTGATACTGTCCCCAGGATCGAAGTACCCAAGCGTTGACTTATTTGAGTCAACCACAATCCGTCCTAACATTCCCTTCCTTGCTACAGTAGGCAACGCTCTCTTTCATGATAGTGATAGTAAACAGCTCATACTGACTCGTAGTTTGGTACAAAGAGTTGAAAAAATGGCCACCATTCGCGTCCGCGCAAAACAAATCATACAAGCCCCCCTACCTCCCTTGGACATGGGATCACAAGACTACCTCTTCGGCACTTCATGATCTGGAAGTACGTCGGGACTTTGAGCCCGTGGCCCAATTTGAAGAGCTCGGTCCAAGAAATGTACAATGCCCAAGCTTTCAGTCGCAGCTCTACAGCTGTTATTGGCCCCGGTCTACACAACACAGATCCTGAGATCGTCTGTGGTGGGGATGAACATGGCCTCCAAGGCCGCTTCTAACACGCTATAGGACAAGTACTTGGAGCGGCCTTGGAGACCCAGGCAGTGAACTTACATTTTGCGGACTTTAGATGCTCCGGCATTCAATACAAGGATGTTCCAGATGTCGTGGAATTAAGTACTACCGTTCAAGGTAGAGAGGAGTTGAGGCTTGTAGGGGAACTAAAGGTTCCATGGGCAATGGCATGTAGAATACTCACCAGTCGTCTATTCGACTGATGTGCATGAACCCTCTGGCTCTCGGGATCATGTTTCTGATCCCTCTGTCTCTGATGAAACAGTGTATGTTTTGTGTAGCCACGCTTGCGAGCAGGCAAGGCCCTGCAAATAACAAAATTCCGTTGGACCAATGGGTGGTGCGGTCTTGAATTTCAAAATCAAAAGCAATAACAATTAGGGAGTGCATCTTGGTCTTCCGTAAAACAAACTACCTTGTATGAAAGCACTCTCGACCGGACGGACAGCACATCGCAGGCGGTTGGCGCGGGCACACCATCCCGACCAGAGGTCCCTGTGTGAGATTCCTAGTAGAGTGAAAACGGATTACAAGATCTACGAAGGTAGCCCACTAGCTTACAAATATCTACTGAAGTCTGATGAAATCTTTCTGTAACTTTTATTTGCTAACCAGCTTTGCCCCAGGTTGACGCCACCCGAGGATTCCCTCTACAAAAAAAAACAACGGGTCAAGCAGCCCGCGCAAAGATCTGAACGCCAACAGGGGTTTTTTTCGTCCCTCCCCGTTTTGGAAGATCAAAAACAAGACAACATCAACCACAAAAGCCTTGCGAATGCAACGGTTACTTTTAGAGCGAGCAACCATGTCAATCCAAGACAGGTGTAGCATCGGTCAAATGTGTTCTGGCGGGGACCAGAAGCAAGGGAGGAAAAGCGGGATGTGAGGGGAAAAGGAAAGAAAAAAGGGTATCGAGATCGATTACATGATAACTCGCCCATGGGAATTATTCATAGGTTCGAGATGCTGTGCAAATAGCAGGATATCGGCCATCCCGTACATTGAAGATTTCAAGATCATGTCAACGTGAGGATCGAAGTGTGCGAGAGAAAGGTGTGATGAGTTGCTCAGCTGAGCAGGACGAGGATGACAGAGTCGCCGCGAAGGAACCTAAGGATAAGCCATGAGATTAGAGACTGTTTCGGAGATAAGGAAAGAAGGACGAAGATCCGTCCGCGGTCTGGTGCACGTACATCTTGCTGATGAAACGATCCTTGTTCACGCCCTTGCCCTTGGCACCCTTGGGCTTCTCGGTCCACATCTCCTTGACATTCTCGAGAACCATGTTGCAGTGTCGGTCAAAAGCCTTGACGCGGGCCAACAGCTTGCGGTTGTTTCGGCAGGAAATCAGGACCTGGGTGTGTGTGCGGGTGGCGGTCTGCAGGAGAGACAGGGGGCCCGCAGTGAGCTCGTGCTCCTCGACAAGAGCAATTTCGTATTCTCTATTGTGATGTAGGATGGGAGGTTAGTTATAATTCTTCTGCTGTATGTACTTTGGGCAGCTCGCATAAGATTGTGAAGATGCTGGTCGCAAAATTTCCGAGATGCGGGTGTCGTAGGTAGATCTCGCCAGCCCGAGAATCAGGCAGAACCCGCCGAGGTCGCGGGGTAACTGATACCTCAGAAAGAGGAGGATCGCATGGGAAGGGAGGGGGTCAAATCCAATATAACGGGTGCACATACGTGAGATCGCTCTTCGGCTTGTTGAGAAGGTCTCTGTTCGTATTGTTAGATGATTGGTCCTGGACGAAGCTAGAAGTCATTGATAGGGTTACATACAGGACCTGGGGTTCAGGAGCGGTCGACATGGTGAGTATCAGAAGGTTGTTGAGGTCAAGAGATGCCGTTGATGCAGCAGTGTGACAGTTGAAGTTGGCGGAGAGCTGAAGTCACGTGGAAATCCTTGCAAACACCCGAGGAGAATATTGACACCTTGGGATTACGGCATCAACTCCCAACCATTTCCTGAGGTGGTGACTACACGGCTAAACGCATGGAGTTGGTACTGCACGGGTTGAATGCAAATTTATGATTTCAGGCACCTTTTCAATAGGACACACGTACTCCGTATAAAAAGGTAATTTGATTTTAGCGTACCCCAACCCTACACGGGGTAGGTCTCAAACCACGGTCATTTTTTTTCCAAAATACAACATACATGACATACAACATACCACTGGCCCAATGCATCCTACTCCATGTATGTTATAAAAATACAAACTTCAAGTTGAAATCCAACATGTGGTCCGGAATAGATTAAGGGGAACTACACTATGCATGCACCTTTATTGTCTACCTTTAGATGATGATAAACTTGGGTCAGAAAAAGCGACTTCTCAAGTTGAGACAGCCTGGATTCCTAATATCAACGCCCATTCCTATATACAACATGATCAAATGAGGTGATCGAGCTATGGCTTGCAAACATCCTTTTTTAAAGTACCTTCTGTGTTGTACTCTTTGTATAGTGGGGAATTCTTAGGAAAGAAGTCAAGAACCAATGAGCAGCCAGGAAAAAAAGCCAATTGGAGCTGAGTCAGAGATTTGCTAATCAAGGGGCCAAGCCCTGTAAAGTAGGTCACGTGCTTTGATAAGACAAGTGGAGATGTCGCGATTGGTTGCAGTCACGTCGCGTCACGCTTGTTTGGAGATCTTTCGAGATAGCTTTGACCCGCGTATGTAAGGCTTCTTAATCTTATCCCTTCTCGCGTTTCTCACTTCCACTTTTGTCTGCTCATGCAGAGCTAGTGGGGAGACAATTAACAGTCTTGTCTGATAATTCGGTAAGATTAATTTTTCCGTTTTCTGATACCGATTTTTGCCCTCTTCGAGGACATGCAATTGTTAACATTTTAGGCTTGCAGAAAAACAGACCCCTCCACTACCTACTCCTACATAACCTGTCCATTCTCCCTGTAGACCAGAGATGCATTGCTGATCGGCTCGGGTGCTAATTCCTCCTGGTTCATTCCCGGTCTTGAGTGGAAGGGCGTTGTTTAATCAACAATTTCGCTCTGCTCCGCCCGCCCCCCCCCTTCCCCCTCTTTCTACCTGTCAACATTTTTCGGACCTCGACTTTCATACCTTCTGCCACACTTGAATACCCTTCGTGCTTAATTCTTCATTTCAACCCCATAGTTTGATCCACTCTCTTGCATGGTGGGCAAACGAAAATCGATGAGATGGAATCTCAGGACGGTATCGATGTCCGCCCTATGAGGCGTATGTTTTCAACTGCCGTTCTGATCAGGCTAATTGAATGGCAACTAAACATGGTTATCCTACAGTTAAAGTTCTCTATACATTCGACAACGAAAATAAGATCAATTGCCTTGCTCGGTGGCCACACGTGCTCGACATCCAAACGGCTTTTCTAGACGAGAATACTCCGGTTGGAGTGATCGAGTTGAAAACATGCATCCAGGCAATCGTCTCTGCTAGGTTTGATATCCGTATTCCCGCGTGGCGAAAATGATATGCTTACACGGTTTCTTATTCAGTCCAGAGCTTGTGGGTCAATTAGGGAAGGATTTTACTGTGTATGCCTACGACTACTCCGAATTCGAAACCCCTCTGGTCGGGCAAGGCATGCTTTCTGGGATGCTAGCTAGCTTCTCATCGACACCCGAGACACCCAACAACCAGTCGAAGACCATGATTACTGGGCGAGTTTGCAAGAGCCCTCTCAGTGGTCTCTTCTCAAAAGGGGCCCAAGAGACGTTGGAGGTCAAACTGCGGCTGGTGCCTGTTCCAACCGTCACCCATAGTGAGTACGTCGCCAGCATGCAGAAGCATCAGAAGTTGACCCAATGGCAATTCAGGCGAATTCGACACCCAATCCTGGACAAACTTTGTTCGCCAAAACCCCGCTCTCCTGGAATCCTCGAGAAGTCAGAGCCACAATGACAACGTCGGGTCTCCGATTCATCAATCTGGGATTGAGAGATTCCACCAGCTCTTGAGCGAAGGCTCAACTCCACGAGAGTTTCCTACATTTCACAACAATGGATCGGTCCGCTCAGTATCGCCTTCACATTCCTACGCTGGCAGTCGAGTGTCAACACCTGGAAGATGTCGTACACCAGCTCATCATCAATCTTACACTAAGCAGAGCATCCCCCATAGTGATATGATTCGCCCGTCTTCAAGTGCTTCTATGCGGGACTGCGACAACCAGACTCAGCTTTCACACGTCTCACATAACAACCTTCGAAGAGGGTCCATTCAATCGGGATACGGTAGTGGTGATGAAGAATCAACGGAGGTCCCAGCCCGGAAGAGGGCCAAGGTGTATCAAGCAAACTGGCCGGGAAAATCAGGCATGAATATCGAAAGACAACCAACCTCGCTTCGCGTTGCAGCCAGTACGGCGGCCTCTGTACGAATCCACCGCCCAACCCCAGTGAACCCTGCTTTGGCGGTCGAGCATTCTCTCGAGGAGCCCGTCCGTCCACCTACCCCCATATCTCGACCGTCTGACTTCCCACGTCGAAGCCGACCCACGGCCAGCTTGTTACGGGAGTCGTCAAGCATGAGCATTGCTTCATGTCCTGCTTCGTACAGTTCTCCGTACTGTATGAGCGATGACGTCCCTGCCACAGATGCTGGTGGTCCCTCTCCTGAGGATACTCGCTACCAAGGTCTCTTTGAGCCGTCTTTCAACATGCCATCATCACCTCCAGTTTTCGATGGCCGTTTGCCAAACAGATCAAGCCCTGTTTTGCCTACCATGTCTCTGGACCATGACCCCGGCTTTATGAGTGCAGGACCGGATGAAATAATGGACGATGAAACCACCATTCCTTTAGATGACCCCAGAATGGAAGTCTCTCGTGGGATAACCAGAGAGAAGTGCTCTGTTCGTGCTACTGTGCAGGCAAACTCTCCAGGCAGCATTGTCAGTGCTGCCCGGGGAACCAACAATGATCCTCTCTCGGTAGATGATAATTCAATGGAGCAGGTTTCAAAGCAGGCGCCGCGTCCGATCTCTCGTGCTCCCCCTTCTCGTCCTGCTCAATCTCGTCCTACATCCCGCCCGCCCACATCAAGGCCTTCTTCGAGCTCTGGCGCACAACGTTTGGCACCAAAGCCCCTCGCGCCAGCGCCACAAATCTTCCACAATGACGTTCCCCAAATTTTCCGCGCAATCCCTGCTAGCGATCCAATTATTCCCCCTCGCTCTTCTGTGCCTGTGGATGTCACGTTCATGCCGTGCGAAACAGCTACTTCCAGTTCCAAGCAGTCGAAACAACCTTTGAAGTCAAAGTCATTGCCGAAGCAGGGGTCCAAGGCGGTGCCAAAGAACATTAAGGCACGCTTGGACAATGCTATTCTCAACGGGCTAATCCCGCCTTACTGTGAGAATTGTGGCTCCATCGAGACCGCCAGCTGGCGGCGAGCGTGGGTGAAGACGGTTAAAGGTAGCGAGAGCCTTGCAGAAGAGATGATGAAGTCTTCCCCCATGCTCTATTGGGAGGCCGTGGACCGAAACGACAAGGGCGAAGTGCAGCGTTTCAAGATCTATAAAAAGGCTCTCGAGCAGGACGACAACGATTGGGATCAGATGACCTTCTGCAATCCTTGTGGTTTGTGGCTCCACAAATTCAAACAAATGCGCCCGGAAGACAAATGGACCAAGCCAGGAGCAGCGAAGCCGGCCAACAAAAAGAACAGCAAAAAGCGTCTTTCGAGAAACAGAGAGGGCCAGGCCAATTCCTGCCCTGCTGCCAGAACCCGGAGCAAGGCCGCACCAAAGAAACCCTCGGCATCTTCTCCAGCGCCCACTGAAGCGTCTTCCGTCCATCATGATGGGGATACTCCCCAGATGGACAATGACGATGACGATGATCAGGATGGTGAAGGGGACTATTCTCCCAACGAGTCTCCGCGAGCCACCAGTGCTGAGCTGGAAGGGACGTTCGATACCCCAGGACGTCGTTGGTCCAAGGAGGACGCCCGAGAGGTGCTGGCGCGCGCCACTAAGTCAAGCCCAGGGAGCCGTGCACAAGCCCGCTCCGCTCCAATGCCAGACCCAAACAGTCTCACGCCCAAGCCTTTAAGGAGGTCCCTTTTTCAGAATACCCACGTTGACGGGCCTTTAAAGGAGCTTGATTCTTCTATGGTCAACAGTTGCTCTCCACGTCGCAGTCCGCGCATTGCCTCGACAAGGGATGAAAGAATGGGTCAGCAGAAGGAGAACCTTGTACCTACCCCGGGTGATGACCTCAATGACCTGTTCGAAAGTCCCTCCATTGGGTTTGATTCAGCAAGCCCTACTCCTCGTCGACGGAACCCGCGGATCAACGCGATGGACAAGCGTTTGTCTTTTCCCATAAACTCCCAAAGTCTCAACAAACGCAAGGATTTAGGCTTGGTTATGTCTCCAGCTCGACTGTCCGCTGAGCGCCTACAGCGTATTCAATCAATTCACGGAAGCCCTCGGTCATCACCACGGCAGCAGAAGTCCCCGGCCAAGCCACAGTCTTTGGCACCACATCCTGCCAACGAAAACATACAGCAATCATTCGAGACCCTTGATGGCATGATGCTCGACATCTTCGATGACGCCGACAAGGCTGACGCTTTCTTCGAAATTGAGAACAGCAAGTTTGCCGGTGAAAGCTGGGCCGAGTGGCTTCCAGCGGACTACGTCTCCCCTGCTGGATCTTGCGAAACTCCTGCCAATGAGCTTCTTAACGCTCTATTCTCGGAAAATCCCAACGAGAAAGACAACTTCACCCCCGACCTCCTTCCCTTCAACTTCAATGACGTTGTCATTCCCGACTCTGGGTTCTTCAGCTCGGATGCTCTCGCCACCGATGTACCCAAGAACCAGCACGCTGGTGAAGAAACCGAAGGCCAATAGGCCACCTCCCTTGTCTAAGACTGGGAGAGACTCCATGCATGTCTTTCCGACATAGCAGCCCAACCATCTTTGGTTTTTGTTTCTAATCTTAATTTTCCTGTTTTTTAAGCGATGGCGTTCGGTTGATGGGATTGCATACAGCCAACGGATCGTGGCTTACACCTTGAGATTTACGGCCTTTCCTTATTTGTTCAAACTGATGACCTGGAGTACCTTGATAGGACTCCGATGCTGAATTTGCTGTACCTATTGGTGGACACATTCCCCCCGAAGTGAATGGTCTTCGTTACCGTTCTTCCGCAGCTTTAATGATAGCACGAACTACAAAATCAAAGGAAAAAATAACCACAACCAAATCCTGCCCTGCCGTAGACTGTGTTTATGAGTATCAAAATGATTTGTAGCTGTAAACACCTACCACAACCAGCAACCCTGGGAGACGACAAAAGGCAAGAGCCTAGGGCCGTCAACATTAGGAAAGTACGTGGGATGTGACAATATAAAAGGACTCCCACCTCTCCTCTTCTCCTCTTCCCTTCCCTCCCCCCTCCCCGGCCCTCTCATCCACCATCTCTCCGTAGCCCCCACGAGACAGCGTTGGGGGAGTGTCCCGTAGCACATGGGTGCCCTATGCATGAAGACATCAACATTACCAAGTTGTTGAGGCCCATGCAGCTCCGCACCCAAATCAAACTGGGCTTTCTCGTGTGAGTTCTTTTACCGAGTGACTGAGCTTTGGGGGTTCCATAGTCACTTGGCTAGTCCCACGGAATACATGAGGGGTGTTTAATAACATCCTCTCCTCAAACACCAGTCACCCAAATATACCTATACCTTTATTATACAGCTAGTCATTTAGAAAGGCTTTTAGCTATATCTACCCTAAGTACTCAACCAGTTCAGCTCAATGTATACTCTTCTTTAGGAGATGCTTTAAATCATTACCTCATATGGAAAACGCAAAAACCGGGGAATCACAAAGGGAGAATCACAGTGACAGGATGGCCACCCAAGGCCCATTCAAACAGAACCCGTGGTCAAATGGAGGCTGCTGATAATGTCACAACAACTAGGCTGGCCTGTCCTTTGGTTCCACGCTCATATCAGACCCGGGACACCCACCCCCTCAGAATATCAGCCAGAGATTCAAATCCCTCATCTCATGACCTATCAGTCGTAAAAGATGGTCTTGAACTTATGCGTTGCATTGACAACATTCTCATAGATCTTATAATCTAGAATCACAACACACCAGTCAGCCTCTAGGCTAATTTACCCCAGGAAAGCATTCAACACATACCACAATCAGCTGGGTCACCCCACTCCGTCGAGCCCAGTACACGGATTCCGTATCCCTAAGATTCCCAGAATATCAGCCATCCACTTTAAATAGTGACACAGTCCCAAATTTTCGATATCAGGGCTATATCACCCGGAAACCAATGTTGAACATACCTGTCCACCTTCTAGATCAGCCACCTTTCCCACAACCTCAACCAGCTTTCCGACTTGCAAGCGAGCATCGGACTTGAGAATCAGCGTTATTTCACCATTGTTGCCGCAGGTGAGTGTGCCGGTGTTCCCATGGAGCGCAGTGACGGTGCCGAGTACGCGGACGGTGTTCGAACTAGAGCTGGAGGGGTGGAAGGCGTGGAGGTGGGAGGGAAGGATGCGGGGGGTTTGGAGTGACATTTTGGATGCTGGCTGTTTTTCGACTAGGATCCGAGTCTTCGGGATTTGAAGGTGTTGAGCGTGATGGGTTTTCGTTCGATGCTGGAAAACGGCGGGAAATGAGGAAAGCTGATCGACGCGAGGCGCGGAAACGCGTAGTCACGTGGTGATTAAATGCCATGAATTAGCCAAGGGGAGCTCGAAGCTGGGTATCTGGCAATGCTATGTAATTACAGCTTTAGTCAGGGGATCTGTTCTGGGTTACGCCGAGAGAAAAATCAGCACCGTACAACAATTCAACCTCTCAAGTTGATGCAGTCAATTACCACTTCTGCCGTCCTGGCCTTTTGATATCATCACGTGATCAGATACCAATCTCCAGCAAAAGCTTCAGCCCGATACGTCAAGTCAACGAGTCCACGCCACACACTTCTGCTGAGCAGACCTGGCGCAACCATCTAGTTTTGAATTGTAAGATAGGTGACTGATTTCCACATATCTCCACATAATCGACACCTAAACTCCTTCTACACTCATCATATCCGACCACAATGCCTCCTCCGCTCCCCTCCTCCCACCGGGGAATGACCAAGAACCCCGTCAAGCCTGCTCGCTATCGCCCTGGAAAGCCTATCGCAGAGGAGCCCTCGTCTGAGGAAGAGGATGAGGAGGAGAACCCCGAAGAGGAACGGGAGGCGCGTCGAGAACAAGAGCGGCGCAGACGAGCCGAGGCACTGCGCCGAGCAAAAGCGCCCAAAGCAAGCTCATTCCCGGCTGCTGCTGCTGCTGCTGCTGCTGCTTCTCAAAAGGCTGAAGAGGATGATGACGAGGAGGGGTTCGTCACTGAAGAAGAAGATGACAAGCGCACACCCGCACCCGCGCCAAAAGCAGTACCGCATCCTACGACCGACGAATTAAAACCTCCTGTGTCTATAACTGCCGCGAAGAGCGACGAAGAAAACGAAGAAGAGGAATCGGAAGAGGAAGAAAGCTCCGAAGAAGAGAGCAGTTCCGAAGACGAGGCACCCCGCCGCATGCTCATCCGACCAACATTCATCAAAAAGGATAACCGCAACACAGCAGCCTCATTGGCTGGGAAGACACAAGCACAAGCAGACGCCGAACGAGCGGCCGAAGCCGAAGCCCAGCGTGCCGCGCAACGCCAGGAAAAAGCAGACCAACTAATCCGCGACCAACTGGAGAAAGAAGCGATAGCACGCTCAACCGCGAATCGCGCCTGGGACTACGACGAGCTCGTCGAGGCCGAGGACGAAGAAGCTATCGACGACACAGACGGCCTGGACCCGGAAGCCGAGCGGGCAGCATGGACACTGCGAGAACTGAAGCGGGTTCAACGATCCCGGGAAGCAATCGAAGCAAGCGAGAAAGAGCGCGAAGAGATTGAACGTCGCCGGAACCTTACAGCCGAGGAGCGAGAGCGCGAAGATAGCGAGTTCATCACGCAGCAGAAGGAGGACCGCGATGCGACGCGCGGACAGACGGGCTTTATGCAGCGGTATTTCCACAAGGGTGCTTTCTTCCGTGGGGATCTTGAGGCGCAGGGCTTGGATCGTCGCGAGCTTATGGGTGCGCGCTTCGAGGATGATGTCAATCGCGATACGTTGCCGCAGTACATGCAGGTGCGCGACATGACAAAGCTTGGAAAGAAGGGCCGCACGCGTTACAGGGATCTCAAGTCGGAGGATACGGGGAGGTTTGGGGATGGGCTGGAGAATAGGAGGAGGAGGGATGGGCCGCCTGGGGGTGTTACGGATGAGAGGTTTATGCCTGATCGGTGGGGTGGTGGTGATGATGGGGACCGTGGACCGACGGGGGCGAATGCTAGTGTTGTTCGGCCTCGGCGCAGATCCAAGTCGCGTTCGCCTCGGCGGGACAAGCGTGATGATAGAGACTCCGGTCGGTTTGAGCGGAGTCGATCCAGGGAGAGGCGAAAGCGAAGTCTGTCGCCTTATGATGACCGCGAGAAACGTCGGCGGGTGGACAGTTCCTGATCTGTGCAACGGCGAAGTGGGCAATGTTGATATCCTACTTGAATGTTGGAATTATGGCGCCAGTCTACCACAAGGTGCATGCATGGGGGGATCTGCTTCTATGGTATCTGAATGGTAAGCAGCCAATATGCCAATGCTGCTACTCTTCTGTGTATGAACATACACGCAATGAATAGCATATCCTCTCCTGGAGGAGTTTTTTTTTGTATGATATCTGCTGGCTGACCATCAAGGACTTTCGTACATGATCCACAGCAGATTGCAAGAACTGCTAACAAGTTCTTCAGATCAACCGCCCAGACTCGTACTTGCATGACATCGTGAAGGGAATCTCGGTACCGGAAAACCGCAAACTAAGAAAATCATAACCACCCTATCGCATCTCAAACGCCATAGATCTATTATGCCAACAAGCGCACATCGATGAGCCTGCAGCCTGTCTAGCACCCCGGTGACCCGAACCTAAGCTCATTCATTATTTAACACCCGCCCTCTCAAGCACCTTCTCCCTCTCCATAACCGGATCTCCAAAGCGAACCAAGAAAACTGTCCGACTAGGCCAGAGTTCCGTGGGCTGGTTATGCGCCGAGACCTTCGTCTCAAATCCACATCCATCACAGACACCCTCAATGATGCCGGCAACGTAGGCAGCGCAGTTGAGCATGCTCATATCGCGGGGCGCACTGATGTACGTGTTGACCATCGGGTCATTATCGGTGATCATGTATTCATTTGGAGTATCCGGGGAAACGGAGTGCTCGAGGGCATCTGCGGCACGGCCAAAGAGGAGGCGCCAGAGGGGGCCATGGATCAGGTGCAGCAGGGTAATGATGCGGAGGGGTCGGTTTGGGGGTGAGGAGGTGGTGGAGGAGGAGCTTGAGAGGGCGGAGGAGGAGGAAGCTGAGGTTGAGCGGTAGAAGAGGAGATCGAGGAGGCGGAGGCCGAGAGGGTAGCCTTGTTCGTTTAATCTAGGGGATGGGTCGTTAGCTATGAGTTACTGGGAAGGTATATAGCGAGAATTGCTTTCCGAGAGGGCTGAAGAGAGGTGTCCAGGAATAAATTAGGGGGCTTCTCTTACCGTTTCTCCAGATCTTGAATACCTGTTACTCGTCTTTGAGCATATGTGACCATCTCCCCGAATAGAAAGGCGAAGCTTGCCCGGCTGAGTTCTGCATTACGAGTCCGATTCAGGTGTCGGTCGTAGATGGTCTTGCGATTGGAAGGTACACGTAGCCCAGGGGACAGTTGTGATAGCTGGGATTGTTGTGTCTGTGGCCTGTCGCTCCCTGGTGCTGAGCCGCCATTACTGATGGATTGCATCGTGGCATATCGAGGTGGTACCGCCATGGTAATGGCGTAGCAAGTTGAATCAGATTCGAGAACCCTTGACTTGCGAACTTGAGGATCTGTTGAAGTATCTAATGGGAGAATTTGGAGTATGGGGTTAACATGTGGATGCGATACGGCAGAGTACAAGCACCTCGGGTGCAATCCTGCGAGATTTCACGTTTGTGCCAAGAGAAACTACCGGCTTGGCTATGCTATTTTACGGAAAAGATTCAAAGGAAAAGATACGGACACAATTGTCATTCAATTGATACTGAATTGAAGATCTTGGAACTATGGAAGTACACAGCAAATCACTCGAAATTCTCCCAAGCTCAGTCAGGCAAAGCATCCAGGAGGGTCCTCGGGAGCACCTCCAGCAGCCAGCTGAACACCGAGTGGGCGGACACAGCAGAGCTGTGTTATTCGTGATGTGGAGGTTGAGGTGTTTCTAACCAAAAAAATCCTGTTTCTGAGAGACAATTAGCAACCGTCTCGACCGCAATGTTGACATGAAATAATTCATGAAATAAGAACAGCCAAATAGTTCTCAGACATCCAAGGAAGATATTCCGCTCAATGCCGCCTTGATTGGGTTCAAGCGACGGCTAGCGTGGAAACTGCGAATGTAGGAAGATTTTCATCATCGAACGGCGCGAAGCCGCTGGCTGGGGGGAATGCGATGCAAGAAGAAAGAAAGGAAATTAACTTACACAGTCAGTAGTGAAGAGTATATTTGATTCTATGTCAAATGTACTCTTCAAATTGTCGGGCTCAACAGCGGAGTTCCATAGCCAACATTAAGACTCCGAAACTGAGTTGGTTGAGGAAGATGAGAAAGAAAATTTTTCGGGCCGGGCAATGGCCTTTTATAGGGCCGAGCGGAGCCGCAGCTTCAAGCGAGAAAAAGAGTGTCCACTTGGAAAAAAATTAACCCTCAAAAAAAAAGAAATGGCTGGGAAGTGGTATGGCTAATTGTTGTTAGCTAAAAAAAAAGAAATGGTTTTTAATTTCAATAGCCAATCCCAGGTCATTTCGTTTTTGTAAATTCTGGTCAAAAGCATGTACGCCCAAAAATGAGCCACCCAGTGGCTGTAACCCAAGCAATCGAACTAGATAGACACCAAAAATGCTCATAGAAGACGAAGAAAAGAGGAAGAAAAAGAGGAAGAAAGAACCAGAGGTCATGCCCAAGAAGCCTTTCCTCCATTTCAGCTACTTGAAGCTCTTCTGCTTTTGTCGCGAATTCCAATTCAAAGTCTTGGAGATGCTGTGCACCCAGCCCTCACCCTGCCCACCGGGAGGGAGGACATTGGCAAAAGGATATCTCGAGGCTGACACGGTGACATAGTCACCAGGGTGTAACTCGATTCTGGGGTTTATCAGTCAGATAACAGACCCAACTAATAGTGACATGGCACATGCAACAACTATAAACAAAGGTGACAAACTCACCTCTCTCGTCCATCAAAGCTAGCCCATGAGCTCGTGCGTGCATCATACGGCACACCCATGCGCAAGACAATGGTGTCTGGTAGAATGATCGGCCGAAAGGACAGCGTATGGGCACAGATGGCAGTGACAAGGATGACAGGGTTTTCCGGGTGCGAAAGAGAGCCGCCAGCGGCGAGGTTGTAAGCAGTTGATCCGGTTGGGGTAGCAATGCAGATTCCGTCAGCAAGCAGTGTGGTGAAATGCTCATCGTCCCCGAAGAGTTCGATTTGAGACATGGCTAGTGCAGATTGGTTAGCTGTATGTCTGTGTCTGTAGTGAAACGTAACACATGACGGGGGGCGGGTCTTCGCATTCAGAAATCAGAAGACATACTTGGGTTTGGCCCCCGGTCGAGGACCACATCGTTGAGAATCTCGTACACTTTATCTGGGGTGTGCGTCAATGTGTCCTCCCCTTCCTCCCCGATCAATTCCTCTACCAGGTCACGGTCTGATAAAGAACGAGAATGCGGGTCTCTCATTCGCGCTTTGCTGCGCATAATGGTGCATTCGAACCGTAGCCGGAGGCTGACGAAAACGCCATCCCGGAAAGCGTTATTCAGGCTATTCTGATAATCCGCAAAATTGAAATTTGTTAAGAAGCCCAGCGATCCCAGCGCAAAGGAGAGCACAGGCGGCACGATGCGTTGGAACAGCCAGCTCGTGTATAGAACGGTTCCGTCTCCACCAAGTGTGATAACAAAATCAAATAAATGCGGCTGTTCTTGCGCAAGCTTGGGATCCCAGTACTTGAGCCGGCCCTCGGCGGATGGCTCATCTTGAACCAGTTGCAATGCACCAAAGTCCGCATTCGTCTCGAGCCGCCGCTCGACATAGACCACGTACGGAGAGTCCCGGTCCTTGGAGAGTAGCCACCTTGTAACCTTTCGAGTCAGGCTTACCAGAGACTGGTCCTGCGCCTTGCTTACTATGAAGATATTCTTCACAGTGAGCCTTAGCTTGATGCTGCCAAGCTTCTTGGACAGCTTGCGCACATTCCAGGCCATGTCTGATAACTGTCTTTTCGTGAGGTGCCGGGATTCGATGATTGTGGGTAACGGTTTGTTGTCACGGTCGACCACCGAGACCAGCTCCTCTGGCTCGATACCTTTGGTATTTGTCACGGGCTTCGTCTCGATCTCGTTAAATGTCTGTATCGCATCTTCCGTACCTTCTCTATCTTTCAAGTAGTGTGGGGGTGATGTCCACTCGCTCGCAATAAGGGAATGGACGTAGCAAGCGGTCGTCCTGTCATTCTGAGCTGGGTGAGGTTGAATCCTCGGCTTGTCCATCGTAACAAGGGAGGACTTGCGACGGTGGTTGGAGTCGGGATAGAATACAACCTGGGTAGCGAAATATGCTTAGTATGATACTATCATCGTCGTTAAACTGCTTTACCTCCAGATGATTCTGAACCTCCGAATCACTCGCCCCTCCATAGTTCTATGATGAAATTAGTCACTGCAATACCCCAGTCCATCAGCACTGACATCATTCTTGAGTGTCTTATCCATCGCGCAAAAGTACCGGAATTTCTCTGTTGGTCACTATGTCATGGTTGAGTTGTCCGAGTTCCGGGGTGTTAGCACGAAAGAAAGAAGATAGCTGGGGAGCTGCCCCCCCCCCACTGGTGCTCGGTGCGCCGCAAATAAAAGGAAGTATATTTTGTATGGACAAGCCATATAAAAGGTACCTAGTCTCACTATTTTGTGTTTGCAGCGGGCTTGGCATGATTATGACGTACGCCATAGGTCCACCTCCAAGGTCACCAGGAGAACAACTTCCAGCACACACAGCCGATTCCCATTGTACATCGTTCAAATGACTTGATTTCTAGGAGATCTTGTTTAAATGGGTTCTACTCACTTTCGGTTCTTGCCAGTTCAGTCTAGCCTCGGATTACCCCGTTCAGACGAAAATACGCTTTCTGCAAATTTAAATCGCTCCATGTGATCTTATAGATTTTCTTGCCAACCTGGCTCCCCATACTTTACATTGCATTCTTCAATTCCCTCAACGCTGCCATCACGTCCACAGGGTCGGTCTTGCCAGTTACCTTTTGGATCTCGGGGTCCTGTATGTTCTGGATGAGCAACGGCAGATACAAGGGCAAAGGACAAGAAACTTACATTGACACGCATGAACACATTGTGGAGCTAAATTTTCGTCAGTCTTGACCAGAAAAATCGCTCAGGTCCAGCTCTTACCTTCTCGTCGCCGATGGTGAATTTCCCCTGTGTCTCCTTGTTCTTCTCCGCAAATGCCTGGAGCTTTTTGATAGGCTCTGTCTGCGATACTGCAATGCAGAACTTGACATTGGCCTTGGTATACTCATGACCGGGCTAAAACAAGTCAGCAAGAGCCTTGTATTAACACAAAGAGACAACCCTACATAAACCTTGGTATCGTCAGGCAGAGCGGCGAGGGTCTCGTTCAAGGCTTTGTGCATCTCCTTCGCACTTCCTTCAAAGAAACGGCCACATCCTGATTTCAAAATTAGTCCATGACAATCCATTGAAAGACGCAGGGATAGAAGATTCGAATATGATAAGCGCACCACCAATAAAGAGAGTATCGCCTGTGAAAACAACACGCTCGTCTCCATCTTGCATATAGTAGCAAATACTGTCTTGCGTATGACAAGGAGTATGCAAGGCCTTCACTGAGATACGGTCTCCGATCTTGAACTCTTCTCCATGAGTGGGAGTCTTGGTGACAGATGGGCAGTCCTTGCCACCGATGACCTGAAGGCCCTTGAATTCTTTCAACTGGAGCAAATGTTAGTTTGAGATGACACCCAATATCCCGGGGAAGCATGCATACAATGTCATGATTGCCGCCAGCATGATCCCAATGGCTTCAGCAAATATCAGCAAATCTGGATTTTCCTCATCGTTTTACCGACCCATGAAATTTTCATCTACATACTGGTGGGTGTTTACAATAGCCGTCAGGTCAATCTTGCCAGAAGCAATCTGAGTTTTGAGTTCCGGGGCAACCCTGCAAATTCACGGAATCAGTTCAGCTCATGCAGTAGATTCAACCCGATCTAGAGGCGCAACTCACTCTGGAGGATTGGCGGGATCAATGATAACCGACTGCTTGGTCGACTCGTCCGTTACGAGGTACGCATAGTTGTTGCCTTTCCCTGTCCCTGTAGAATGAGACTAAAATCAGCAAAGATTTCTCGTCTGATTAGGTCAAAGTTGCCGCCGTTGATTTGTAATATATCTTTTATGACGGGACCGGAGGATCAACATACACATGGGAATCGATTGGATATGCATGGTTCTGACTTGTGACCTGCGTAGAAGCGAGCTAGTTCTGAATAATCGTGTCCTTAGAAAGTTCATCACCAATGAATCGAAACAGTGCGGGGAGCCCTCGAAAGAGGTACACTGCCCAGGTGGATCTTTCGGATTACCAACGTCATCCGGAAGAACTATTTCCCCTTTTAGCTTGACAGCTTTTCGATGTGTCACCGCTTTTGATTGGTTGATCGTTGTGTAACTGTCTATGTTGTACTTCGTACGTTGTATGGGGACATTGACTTTGGGGTTCTCTAACGCTGCCAGCAGCGTATGCATTTTGTGAATGAAAGATAGGCCCCTCTAATTACTTGATACCACGCCCAAAGGTCGACTGTCCCATTTCTCCAGGAATCCCCATCCATGCTGCAGCAGCTTATCTGAGAGCTGAGATGGAGCGTATAGCGAGTCATTCCTGACGTGTTTAGGTTTCGAGACTCGATTCTTCGCAGCGGGACGAGCGCCAAGAACTGATTTGGGCTTGCTAGCGTGCTTCCTTAATTGATCTCCCAACATCTCTGTCCAGTGGTGGGGACTTTCATCGCAGGCTCGAAGAACGTAGCTTTGCGGGCATGATTGTCTGTGGAACTCCCAGGCAGTAGATGTCAAAATATGCGCGATCCACAAATACAGTGCCTCGGAAGACACATCTGTCGAAATGCCGGTTGTGTTCTTAAAGGCTAGATCATTCACCAGATCTTCCGTCAAATGCCTCAAAAACGCAGGTTGACTCTCTGCAACCCTTTGCAGAACCGGGTTCCATTCCTTGAATGTATCATTCAGCGAATCCCCAAGTCTAGATAAAAAACATCACCGTCAGCATGTACTCCCCGACAACAGCTGCTCCTCTGAAGACGCAGCAAAGACAGCCGTTAAACGAAAAAAAGGGGTAAGTGAAACTCACTCCCGCCCATTAGGCACCAAGAATCCCCTCTCAAGCAAGACAGAAGACAAAAGCCTGACCCCAGCCCCCGAAACATTACAAACTGAGACAAGCCGCACAGCGACCGAGATAGCCTGATCCCGCTTCCGCTTCTTGGGTACAGGATCCGCCGATCCACCGGAAAGAGGCTGTAGAGCGTCGCACAAGGCGGCCCTTACAGACGCATCGTCGTCATGGGTTAGTGCAGGCGCACCGGAGTCATCACCAACACTGGCCCAGTAATTGTCCCACAGCCACTCGAGCGAGCGCTGTGCAGCTTTGCGCAGTACGACAAGCGACGGCGGCTCGCGGTGGGTTGCTTCGTGGCGGAGTTCCACGAAGGAGGCTGGGAGACCTAGGTCTGTGGCGCGCTGGAACATTGTTCGGCGAACGCCGTGGATCTTGGTGTCCACGAGACCTGTGACAAAGCTAAAATGGGGCGTTAGATATTTTGGATATGGAATATGCTTTGTGAAGGGTGAGATTGAATTCGAGACATCATCCCAACGGATTTAAATTGGCTTTGTTTCTCCCAGAAATGTAGAAACAAGAATCAGATGCGGGTCAATACTCACCGACAAAAAGCCGCGGAATATGTAGCACGGATTGAGAAGATGGAATTTCTCTGAGCATCATCGTGCAGAATAGCATCTGTCAACAACGCTGTGGCTTCAACATGGTGCGGTACATTGCCGCGTAGCTTCCAAGCTTCGACCTTTTTTTTCGGATATCGTTAGCATGGTTACTAACATAGCTGGAAAAAATGATTTCTATCTCTCATGTGTATGTAACTTACCACTGCACAGCCATGGGAACGCAAATCCGGTCCAGCGTACGCAGACGGAGGATAAAACTCATTCCGTACTTCCAGCAACTGAGACTTGGTTTTCCAAGCTGTGAAAATGACCTTTGCCATTTTCAGCGCCGAGATGGAAATGAGAAATTAGAAATTCAATTCAACGTCTGGTGGGTAACCTTTCGCGTGCTTGACTTTTCGTTGATAGCCAGCGAAATATTTTCGGGGGATTGTTGTTCCTTGGGATAGTTTCCCCGACGCTTCTTTTCTCCGAAGCCAATCAGAAAGCGAGTTTCTATACTTCGAGAACTTCACACAATGCGACAATGACCTAACACCGTGGTAATTTTTTAATTTAAAGGGGAAGTGAAGCATCATAATAGTTATCAAGTATAAAGGTTGATTGTGTACCAAATCGTGTACAAGAACACCTAGAGTAATGTAGCTAGATGCGAGTTGCGAGCTGTCTTGTCCCAGGGTATCCTTTCCGTGTATCCGACTCCGAGGAAAAAAAAAGGATGAAACAAAAACTCCACGCTATGCCGCTGGTACAGTGCTAAATGCGGAAAAAAAAGAAACTGAAAAAAAAAAGAAAAAAAAAAGAAAAACCTCCGCTGAGTGAGCGCCTCAGATCCACCCATATCCATAATTCAGGCAGGGCTGGTTGAAACCAGCAAAAGGCTGTACAACAGCCATCGGTTGCTGATCTGTATCATCAGTGTCGAAGAAGAAAGACCGCTGGAAGAAATTCAAAGCTTGTTTGGGCTGCTGCTTGGAAGTGAAGTGCGACTGGCGAATGGTAGACGCGGATTCATGGTACGTTGGTTGCTGGGGCACTTCATGTTGTCCAATGATCTCGACCTCGTCCGTCTCGTCGTCCTTGTCTTCGTCGGATGGTGTGAATGTTTCTTCGAGTTTGAGACCCTCGCCTGATTTGCTCTGCGGGGCACGTGCCAGTGTTCCGTTCGGCTGGCTGTAGAGACCCATGCCGACCAGTTCTTCTTCGCCCTTTGCCGTCTTCTTGGGCTCGGCGGTGAGCTGGAAAGGATCCTCGAATTGTTGGATGGGGAGAAAGTCCGGTGTTGATGGACCACTCAGGTCACCTGGGGAAGGGACGTTGACGTAGCTAGGACATGTTGTCTCCGGTGGGGGGATGTTGGTGCCCATTGATAGCATGTCGAAGTTCCAGATGTCGGAGGCCGGGTGCGACATCGTTGACAGATCGGTGGACATGGCGGCGACATCCCACCCCATCGAGTCGATCTGTGAGCTGGACATGACCGCCGGCATGTGCTGCGGAAGTGGCAAGTCCTCCTGCATGGTTGAGTAGATGGGGAAGTAGCCGGGGGAGAATGAAGGGTCGGCAGTTATAGAATATGACAAGATGTTTTCGTCGCAGTAGTTGGCCGAGTTTGGGTATTGATCAGACACGGGTCCCATACCGGCGTAGCCGTCCGAAGGGAAATCCGAGATGTATGGGTTGGAAAGACCCCGAGTTCTCGTGGAAGAAGGATGCCAGCTCATCGGACGTGAGTTCCGGGCGGCCGAGGCGAGAAAAGCTTCTTCCAGAGATGACTGATATTGAGTGGGCAATCCATGCATCACATTTTGGTTCACCGCTGATCGTTTCCTGATTCCAGATGAAGGACTGTTGCCGGCACTACGAGGCTTCATGACGCGAGTGTGCCTCGATCGAGGAAAAGCATGCGTTAGATCCTGCATGATGGACTGGCTATAAGAAGCATTGTCTTGAACCCATTGAGTGCCTGTTGGAGGGGGCTGAGGTTGCCAGGAATAATTGGCCATATAAGAAGCTGGAAGGAAGTGATAGCTTGAAGAGAGGTTGACTAAAGGGGAATCAAGTCAGTAGATAGTCAACTGTGGTAGACAGCAACTGGCTTACGTCGCGTGGAGTGGATTTAAATAAAAGAGTGGATGATTAAGTAAAAAAAAAAGTTGATACTCCCGTTCAGGAACGGGGGAGAGTTTTAATTCCAGTGAAGATCCCGTTACTAGGCAAGGCAGGCTTATAAGGGAATCCAGGGAGCCCGGATCTACGATGCCACCGCACATGCTAAGATGACACGACGTTGACACTAACGAAACGAGCCTAGACAGAAAAAAAAAAAAAAAGAGCAACCTGGAACCGAATCCATGAATCAGGGCAGTTCCACCGTTTCGACCAGGGCCCATAAGGAATACTCCGGAGTGCAGCAAATAGCAGAGTGGGGGTGGGATCGGACCTGTGGGAACATGGAACATGCTTTTTGAGGCGAACATGGGGAAGAAAAGAATCGATAAATAGATTTATAGATTGAATAGATTGAACCGGTATAGTAGGTATAATAGTGTATACACTATAGGGTGAGGGTGTCTAGTGTCGTGTATGGTACTCCATACATTATGCTAAAGGTCCAAATTGTCCAATAGAGAGTCTCTCATACGTTGCGACTGGAGCCGTCTTCCTAGGTTTTTTTACTTTTCCCTCTTTTATACGTCCCCTTTTAAGGACGAAAAGTAAATTATAGAAATTCCAAAATCACAAGGATCCTTGACCCTTTAGCCGCTGGGAATGTTACAACATATCATGTACCTATTGGGTCGACCCGCCAGATCTGCGGCCAACACTTCCAAGGCTGAGTGTGTCTCTTTCTTGGATTTCTAGCTGGAAGAACGCAGATTCGGTATAATTAATATCCTGGACACCTTGTCATTCTCTTGTCCTTCCCTTGTCCCAATTATAGCGTCCCCGAGCTCGTTACGCAAGGGTTACGATGTGATGGGCTCGTAAAGATCGACTACGTACTGCCATTTTGGATTTTGACAAGGGAGGAGGGGGGGAGGGGGGGGGAAAGTGGAGTTTAAGATAATCATCGTCATTGTCCTTCCTAAAATCTAGATTAAAGAACTTGTCTCTCCCTTTGTACCGTGCATACCCGGATGTGAGGTTGCTATTTTCTTTACATGATTTCTCTTCTTTTTACTCCGTACTGGAGGACGGACTACATGATGCAGGAGATACATCATTGCCACCCTGATCTTTGTTGCTGTCTTTTCTTTCCTCTCCTTTTTTGGAGTTTTTTTTTTCTCTGTTTAAATGTTCCGAGCCTAGAAACGACTGCGGAGTCCGGAGAACTTAACTCGGCTTTCATCGCAGGTTCACAGCCAATGAGTCGGCTTGGCTGAATCGAAAACGGGAACGAAAACGGAAACTTGGGCCAGGTTTAGGCTACCTGCATTTTTGCAGGATTAACATATGAAGGTCATTTTTCCTACTCCGTAGTATCACCTGAGAAAAAGAAAAAGAGGGGCGCCAACTAAAATTATAGCTAATACGTAGTAGCGTATCGATTCAACGTTTAGTGGGCCTGTTTCATCGGGAGCGTGGCACAGAAACCCATCGTAGACGCCACCAAATGGGAACATGGGAATACAACGGACAATCCAGAAAGCAGCCTAGTTCAAAAACCTAGTTAAAAAAAGCCTGATTGAAAAAAAAAGGGATTCTAAGCGGGATGCTCGGCTATCCCAAGCGGTTGAACCCCCATGGAACTTGGCTTTTGAGTTCAGATTAAGCGGAGTTTTTCAATGACGTGTGAAGATGTATTTAGAATGTGATCTGTCTACTTCGTACATCTCAGTCTCATATCACCTGCAGCTTACAATGCACCCCGTATTAAAGAGACAGGTTACAGATTGCAGGGTAGAACAGTTCTAAGTCACAGCCCAAGATGGGTGCCAATTGGTAGAACTTGGTGTCTTGAACTAACGTGGAACTAATATGGACTGGAGCCACCTACGGGAGAAATTTTTTTTTTAACCCCCCCCCTCCCCCTTCAGAAAAAAAAAGGAGTAGCTGGAGTCACTCACAACGTGGCTAGGTGGATCTGATGGTGCTTAGGGCTCTGCCAAAGCCAAAAAAATAGACCCGTACCCGGCCAACCCGGGCTTTTGGTCAGGGGCGTCTTGTTTTTCTCTAATCTATCTATATTAGCAGGGTTCAGTTTGAAAATAACCAAAATGACAATTTTAAAGTAAGTTTAATGCTACTTTTGAAGAAAAGGAACCAGGAACACCAATTTTGAACATTGTTTCAGTTCAATATGAGACTAGGTCACTCTATAGTCAGAGCCGATCTCGATGCAAAACACATCAAGCCTATCACACGGCATCCAAGCCTGCACTGGAACGCATTTGCAGACCCACTCATTGCACCATAAAAAAGAGGCCAGAAAAAAAAGGTGGAAAGGAAATGAAGCCAATTTTCCAGAAGACCAGAAGTGTCTGAGTTCTCTCGTGGAACCGCTGACACATTCAAGAAATTGTCGATCTCTACTCCGTACTTCGCGGACTAGTAGGCCACTGAGCACACTGTTAACAGCGGCACAGCATGAGGATTCCTTCTAAGGATCCAGCCCCGGTCTGATCAACCCTAACACCAAGATCTTCGCAGGATTCAGCCTATGTTGTACTCCGCCCAGAGTACGGCATAGTCAATACGAGATTCCCCAAACCCTGCATGCCGGGCAAGATCCGAGGCCCAGTACCATGTTTTTATTTTTCCATATACTCCGTAGTCTACTTTGCTATAGTGACCTAGCACTATTTAGTCCCTATGGAGACCGAGGAGCACGGTATCAAGCAAATCAGCGGTCTCGTCCGAGACTAAGCGCTTGATCATTAATCTAAAATTCAGCCTCTTTTTCGCTCCAAGTGCAGTGTCTTCCGAAAGGGTGTGCATGGGATATCTACGAAGGGATAATTACCACGGAGCAGTGAAGAACTTTCCCATTTCACCCCCTTTACAAATCCACCACCCTCTCCACTATTGGGGCGACACAGGGCGGAACCGATCCCAGCTTCCTTCATCCTTCCAGACGTTCCAAGTCGGGGATTATGATTGCCCGGTTCCCCTTCTTAGCCCCAAAGAATGCAGCGGGAGCTGCGGGCCAGGTCAATTTGGCTTGCTTTAGCGCCATGTCATCAACTCCTTGCGGTGTAGCATCGGGTGCACACGTCCTGGTCACTCTGGTCCCCGTGCGTTCTCCTTTGTTTCTTGTTTCAGGGCTGATATGTGAATATGTGGGAGTACATACGGAGTAGGGAGGATGAAGTCATCTGTGCGGAGTACGGATTTTACCTCAGGACGAAATACAGAGGAAGAAAGTCCAAAGAGGAAAAAAAAAATTTAGATAAATTTAGAATTTTTTTTCTTGTTGGTCACCTCACTCTTCCCCAAATTAACTGTTGGTCAGCATCATTGGCGAGGCCCATATGAGGACTCGACGATCGTTGGAATTATCCTCCGATATGACCCAAACGTCTTTCAACGATCTTTGCGGCGCTGCCGTCTCCCGATAGGCTGCCAGAGTAGAATCAGCTGCTTCAGAACTGGGCAAGTTCCAGCTGTTTCCATCCCTGTCTGGACCTCACAAGGGCCGTGTGACACAGCCACTGGGGATAGACACATACAACAGAAGGTTGCCGGTAAAGATGGACGATGACGGCTGTAGCCTCACGGTTATCCTTCGTCATCGACTCTGAACTCTACGATCCATGATCAGATTCGAAAGTCTAAGATGTGTATCGGGCGCAAATCATAAATGCAGGCTGCCATCCTCGGATCGGTTGGGTCCTAACGCCAGGCAAGGTCCAAGTCCAAGTACGGAGTACAACATACAGGAGAGACCTTCCTTATCTGACGGCAAACGTATGACTGGTGGCGGAGCAGTAACCTATGTTGGGTGTGGATGTGGTGATGGGGAGGTGTGTTGAGTCAACGAGAGACAGTGACGGCGCCTAGCGGTCAAGCCAACGTGGTTCTCCTCAAAGAGGTTGGACCAATCACATTCCTCCGCCTGAATCGATTGAAATTACTCCAAAACCTTCTCAAATCCCCATCCGCTACTCCGTACTCAATTTTCCAATTTACCTCCAACGATTCACGTTTTCTCGTTTCTCCTCGGTACTCAACCGTCACAGGTTCCACATTCTTGGTCTATGCACTCACCTTTTTTTTCATAACTCAGGTGCTGATCTCCTTAGTACGCTGATCTTGTTCCCAACTGGGGAAAGTCAAAAAGCTCAATGAGTTGGGGATCCACACTGTACTCCGTACACATGCAGGGGCTAATCCTGAGGGGCTGCCCCTCGTATACTACGTAGCTCCATTAGCTACAGACTATTTCCGACAGAGAGTGTTGTATGGAGTCCGAAGTACGGAGTACTATGGGGGGCTAGTCCTATTGTTTCCCCGATCCTGTCCTACAGTTGCCATGTCGAGCTTGTGCAAACCCTGGAAAGACATCCAGGTGTTGCTAGAATAAGCCCGGTGCAGCTGATGGCAGGGGCATATGCAACGAACGACTGCAGTCAGATGGCACAACATTCCCAGGGTTATATCAGAGGAACACAATTCTCGCACCGGCTTTCGTCCTAGCCTTGATTGTCGGTGGTTATCATGCGTTGTAAAGAATTGCCCTTCTAGGCCCCCCCCCCCCCCCAATTACCAATTTACTGTAAACAATATGGTACATGAGATGAAAAGTGCTTCCAAGTACCCTTTATTGCATAAACGACAACACCAAACACGGTGGACATCTCCACCTTGTAATTCTCCTTTCCTATGTTGTATGTTTTCGGCTTGCCAAATGAGAGGGGCTCAAGCCCTGGAGTCATCTCCCGCGCTCCCAATAAGCTCTCCAAAAGAAATTCAATCAAACTAGTCCTCATAAGAAACGGTTGACTTTGCCCCGGGCTCGCGTTAAGACTTTTGAGACATCAGAATCTTGCCCATCATACATGCATCCCGAGCTCCGATTCGACTCCCGTACCTGGGAGATATACACCCGCATAATTTTCACCGCGTTCTCTATCGAGCTAGTATTTTTTTTTCCCACAACCGGGTCTGTATACCGAGGCAAACATATGTGATATGCAGTGCTTCCGTATGTACTTCTCCATCCGCAGAGGGAAGTCTGCATCTTCAGTCTACGTCTTGAAGTGTACAACATATGGGTATACTACCATGTGCACTCCATAATATGCACCGAGTCGACATCACTTCGCCTTGTCATTCCACCTCCCTACATCTGCACCTCTCACACACCAACGATTAAGTACAACATAGTGTTCCGTATATTACTCCGTACAGACTTCATAGTTAGGTCCACTCTCCAGATCACCTAAAAAAGATCACCCGACAAAGAAAAAAAAAAAACCAACGGCATCATCAGTGGAAATGACCCGCCGAAAAACCACGGTTTACCCAAGTCCCCCCACCTAAACAGAGTATCATTTCCAGATCAGACAAATGGTCCAACGGAGTCACTCTCCCGCTTCTTTCCCGCCACAGCGACACAGTGGATACAACATACTTTGTCGAGCTGTGTTACCAAGGATGATGGGCATCTTGTTGATTTCGGGCACTGGCCACGACGATAGACAGGGTTTTTGTTACACTTTATCTCGGTGTATTCTTGTAGATCACGGGTGCAATGTGGAGTATAGAGTCTCGTGGATGGAGCTACGCATTAATTGTTCATTGCGGGCTTGCGGGATTGCGGTGTTGCGGTGTTGCGCTGTGATTGTTTTGAGGAACATGTCTTTGCCCCTCCTGTGTTGGTACGACGTTGTGTGGGATCTGCGACGACTTTCGTCCTTGTGTGTCAGACGTGCGCCAGGCAATTTCTCTTGAATAGTCATAGCCATGTCTTTCTTCAGATGCTATCTACGTAGGAAGATTCCCCAAATAGGCGAGCGTGTGACGGTGTTTAATTTTCTGAAACCGTTTTACTGGTCTCCTGGGCGCAATTTATCAACCCATGGATGTGCGACAGAAGCTGTAGTGGGATCAATGATGGAAATATCTATATTTGAAGACGAGAGTGGCCAACAGTTCAGCTTAAATCGACTAGGTCAAAATTTGACCACCGGAACCTTCTAGCATAGTATCAAATTTGATTTCTTGTATGATATGGATTCTCTGCTCTTGTGTGGGGGGG